TCAAACTTGTAAACTAATAAAAAATCACACAATGAAAATATCGTAAAAATAAAAACGGACGCCAATGAGCTCTATTATAACGAACCACCTTAACGACGTTTTTTGCTATGCACAGGTAGTTCGAGAAAGTTGGGGTGAGTTTTTGAAGACGGGGACAGGTAGTCGATTTAGGAAGAATATTATGTTCGGTACACTCGAAATATAGGTAGTTGGGTATTTTATAATTATTACCAATCAAATAATATATGTCTAATTTTTATTTATTATGAGTCTGGATAAACATATTTTAAAACAGTTTAAAGTCAGATATGCTTTGAAAAACGTATGTCCTAGTTCATTTTATACTGTTTTATACTATTTATTTTAAGTCAAATTTTTCAAAATCTAATTATTCATAATGTTATCTTCAATATGATTTAAACTTAATACAATAAAAATATTTATAGTTATGATTTGCCAATATAACTAAAAAAATACTAATAGATATTGTTTTACTCCTCGTTCTTGCAATATTCTCTAGTAATATTTACTTGTAAAGTTTTCTTGTTATTTTGTGTAAAATGTATTCTTATGGTTTAAATTCATATTAAAGTAAAGAAAAAGTAATATCTAAATTTTTAAATTGTAAATTGATTGGAAATCCTTTTTTAATTATCCATTTTTGAAGTAAAAATTATGTTTTTTATTTAAAACAAAAACATAAATATATTTATATATAAATAATAAAATATATTTATATATAAAAAAAATATATTTATATAAAAAATAATAATAATAATTAAACACTATAGTGTTTAATTTATTTCTATAGCAAACTCAATTGAGTTAAAATTTTACAGAATGAGAAAATAATAATAATAATAATAATAATGTTTATTGTCCAACAGAGAAACTCCAATTACAGGACAAATATCAAATACAAAATTACCTAATTATACATAAACTAAAAATAATAATAAAAACAAAGTCATGAAAACCTAACATATACAGAACTACTTAAGTATGACCATTAGATGAAAAATTACAGCTTTACTCAATACTATGCTCAACATAAACATTAGTTATAAATTTTAAAGAATCATTATTCAGATCACAATAATTTGAGATTTTATTAAAAATATAACACATAGCTGAAATAGGCGATGATACACCAACATTAGTTCTTGCAAATGAATAAAAATACAAACTACTTCTAGCACTAGCTCTTGGAACTAAAAGATTAAATTGTGACAGCAAGTCAGGGCAATCAATCTTATTGTGAAATAAGTTGAACAAAAACTTAAGAGATAAAATATCTCGGCGTTGCTTTAACGAAGGTACATTAAACATTAGCAATAATGTTCTATTGTCAAAACCCCTTTCTGGATAAAATCCATTTACATTATGATATAAAAACTTTAAAAATCTTCGTTGGGTCATTTCAATCAGATTTATATTTATATGATTTATATGTTATAGTTTTGATTCCATATAATAAGTGCTCCATATTCCAGTTTGGATCGAACCAAAGTAAAATATAATGTTTTAAGACAATCCATATTTTTAAATGATTTATAATTTCTGATTAAAAAACCCAACATTTTTAAAGACGAATTATTTATGTTTAAAATATGGTCAATGTATTGAGTGATTTTTTCTTTCCAATACCTTATATTTGTCTCAATTTTTTTAATATCTTAAAGTGTTGCTGCTTCTGGAAAGTATGGAGGATTGAACTGTGATAGTATATATAAAACTTCCTAAATTGTCCTTTTTACTATGACATCCTTATTCTCATAAAAAAGTTGCCTATATAAAAACATTATACTCAAAATCTACTTAAGATTTTCTACTATTTCAAAAATTTCTTTAAGGCCCATTTTTTCTAAGGGGGTAAAATAGAAACAATATAGTTGGTTGGGGGGTGAGGTATTGGCATTAAGTAAGTTCTTCTTAGCCACAAAAATTAAAAGAAGAGAAAGAAACTATTTTAATAATACCTATTATTTATGTATTGTATAGAATAAAATCAAGAACAAAGACTTCTGTGATATCTCGTATTCGTTTTGACGCACGCCTCTGACTCTTCTTGTACCTGGCGATTCGCGTGCACGGTGTGCGCGCCACAGGTAAAGCTCCTCAACCTCTCTCTCTTGGCCACTGCAAAGTTCATATGGACGCAGTTAGTCGAAGTTACGCAGGCTAGTCGCACGGTACCACGTTCTACCGACCAGTTCTAATGCCTGTTGATAGTTTTTCGTCGAATCAGCAAAATGATCAACAAGTTTCGATACAAAAAACCGGCGACCAAAGGGGACGCAGTGACAAGTGACAAAGATTTTAGTGATGTTAAGGATACAGACAAAAAGGATTACACATTCAGCAGTCATTTAAACGATGAGGAGAAGCAGAAAATTAAAGTGAGTCGATTAATAAGGGTTGAATCAAAATTAGTTATTGACCAAACAATGAGTCAATACGCAATTAATTTACCCTGCTTGGTTGTTTACTTTCTAGATTGTATCATTGTCCTTAGGAATATTTGTATTCTTTATGTTTTTGTCTTTGAACGCAATTTCATAACTCTTTAAACTCGTTAAAATCAATAATTTACCATCCATTGGCTTGATTAAATATTATTAAATTACTATATTGGATTGTAAACATTTGATTCAACCAGATCTTGTGAAAAACGAAAATTTGTATTTTTTTAACGAGGTACCAGGGCAGGTGCAAGGGTTCTTTCCCAGACTTTATGTACGACAATAGGTTATCACAGGTGGTTTTACTTCTACAGAATTTATACAAAAATACTTCAACAAAGAAATGTATCCTAAACTTTGTTTGTAGAATACTAGCACCATTTGAAACTCCCACATATACCAACAATTATATAACCCGCTACCTTTCCAGTAAAAACTGACATTCAAAATAAATTTAGAAATGATCTGAAAACATCTAGGTCGAGGCATTAATTTTTTTTAAAGCTTGCACACCTTAATCAGATTTTACGATTTTCTTTATTGTTTACATAAGGTTTGTCAACAGAAAATCTTGTACAATCAAAAGACAAATATTTAATTTTTCTGTCTTTATTGGACCATACCAGGTATTGCTTACAAAATTGTGTTCTGTATCCAGTCTTTGTGCTTTAAATTAATTTAATTAAAAACTAAGCTAGTGAATCAATTACAGTCTTAAGCGGAAAGCACTATACATTTACATCCGATTATGTTATTGTTTCCTTCCAGTATAATATATAAAAGAATTTCCCACGTTTTTTAATTACTCCGGATCTTCTAGTTCCATGAACTCTAAACTTCTTCACCGATGCTAAGATTTGTGATTTATTTCTATTCAAAATGTTACTGTTATATGGAAAACTTATTATGCATGTGTTTATTAAAATTTAATCTTCTTGTGTTGCCGAATTTGTCAAAGCTAATGTAGAAATATACGATGAAATAATATAATATACCTCCTCAATACAAGTTTAAAAATCGTTTCTAAGAAATCCTCATTATAAAATTTGCCAATTAGTTTCTGCATTAAGCGCATTTAAAAACTTTTGTATTTCAAGGATTTCAACTTTAGGATTCTCTCGCCAAGCCATTCACTAAAGAACTTTTTTAATTATCTCTGCTATGAACTTAGTTAATACTAAAAAAAAAGAATTTTTTTACATACATGTGTAAATGACACCATGAATACCTTTTGCTAGACTGTAAATCTGATTTTACCAATGCCAATGTAGATTAGCCTTTGTATATATATATATATATATATATATATATATATATATATATTATAGTTAGTCTGGATTTAATTTCTAATTTCCACGGTCACTCCCCGCACGACATTGATTATTTTTAATTAAAAATGTACATAAATGCGGTAATTAGATTATGATGTATGAAAATTCAAATTACTTAATTTTCTACTCAACGAAAACTCAATAAACCACACCTTTGCGATTATTTAATATAACTGTTTCATAATTATATAATTACTTTTTGTTTATTATGGGATAAAATTACTTGCCGTATGTGATAATTTGTGCTGATGGAGTTTGTTAAATAGTTTTTTTTATACAATCAAAAATAATATTCTCTTATATTCCAGCAGTATTTAATTTGATAATATTAAAGTGATTCTTAAAAGAAAACTTTACATTTGCAATTTTTTTACATAATATCTAAAAAGTTAAAACTTCGAACTTTTTTTCTTACTTAAATATCGAGGCAATTTTCTTAACAAATCGTGATAAATTACATAATCCATGCCATAAATTTAACATTAATAATAAATTTTATAGAAAGCTTTAAACGAAATTTATTAAATGGATGCAAATAGCATGACATCAAGAGGTTCTTGGTAAAGCGTCTCAGGAAATGCCATGGTCTGACTCAGATCTCTTACATTAGCAGTTAAGTTCTTGGAAACCATAAGGTACCATCAATAAATATTTCCAAAGTTTAAAAGCATGTGATTTAAATGGGTTTTTTAAGTTATTAATTTACGTCTATAATGAATAAATACAATATTATATTACATCAAAGGGTCCAAAATGCAATTTGCAACATAAATATTTGCAATAATTCTTCGTGAAAAATAATATATGTCCATATCGCCTAAATTATAAACATTTTCCATCAACAGGTGTAATTATTTTAATTTAATCACGAACTGGATTCAATGTACGTTATAGTCATTGGTTCGTGTTAATTATAATCTGTTTTATTAACTATCAATCTTGCCGGTTGTTCTTTAAAAATCCTCTAGACGTATCAAACCGTTATCTGCAACCTACTTCCTCATTTAAGCATCGGAAGAGAAGAGATTTCTTGCCAAGGAACTTTAAAAGACCCGCGGGCCTCAAGCCAAACCAGACTAATGAAATTTTTGACCTGTTCATTAATTCAACGTTTTCTTTTCATTCAATAATAAAAATCTGGGTTACGCCATTGCGAAATAAACATTAAGAAAACATATGCTTTAACGTAGTATTTTTTAATTTTTAGGAATTATTCTCGCAACTTCAGTTCTCCACTGAAACCGCTCTGCCTCCAGATGCCTTACGGAAAGCCCTCGCCGAAAGCTTTTTTGATCAACAACGTTTTCAGCTGGGATTCATGGATGATGCGGCAGAATGTTTCGAAAACATGCTGCTTAGGATTCACACGCACATCGCTCATGGAGAAGCTGAAGATATGTGCAATGCGAAGCATTGTATTCCCCATCAAAAGTTTGCCATGACTTTGGTGGAACAAAATATATGCAAGCAGTGTGGTGCTAGTTCTGAACCTTTGTCGTATACCCAGGTAAGAACCTAATTTTTGCATATTAGTCTGGAACCATTAACTAATAGATTCGATTAGAACTTTTAAAGGCTTTGTTATTATAACAGGTAAAATTTTAATTCTCGGAACTTTTGGGACGGAAGTTTTGGCAAAAGTACTTAAATATTCTTAGAAAAATCGTGTCCTATAAGTTTGCTTTCGGGATAACATATTCGCAAAATTAGAAATAAATGGTTAAATAAAACAACAAAAAACCGGTTAAATAGGAAATAATCTTTCTGATTACGTATGTAAAACTGTAAAACAATACGTTGACATTTAAATTTTGTTTAATAAGTATGTAAACGTTGTTTACAAAGATATTATCTAAAATGTTTGAAAAATATAAACAATATTATAAAAAAACTAATTTACCAAAACATATGGTTCTCTTATCTTATGCTCTTAAAACTAACACGAACGTTTAACTTTAAGTCGTTTTTAAGTTTTCAAGTTAAGAAATTCGAGAAACCTAAACATTTAACATGAAATTAAAATATTTTTTCTACTTTTTATTGTAATACTGACATTTTGACCTTAAATGCTTTCTCTATTGGTTTATTGGTATATTGTTTATAAGTCATTATTTAATTTTAAATAGTTTCAAGGTTAATTTCATAACTGAAAAATTGTATCGCCTAAAGCTGTTTTGCTCTGAAAAAAAAGTGCGAATTTAACCTTCACATTACAGCCAAGTTAGCAATTGCATTGTTGCCATACAAATTACATAAATAATGTTTTTTATTAGTCCAGGAAACAAAGATTGTAGAAGGAAAACTCGATGGTAGTCGGGTTTTATTTTTTTTATGTAGAGTCAGGGGTGCTGCTAATGAATCAAGAATATTCCCCAAAAAATTATTTTCGCGTCCCCTAATGTTATCCCCCGAAAGGGGAGTTTTTTTGCATTTTGGCTTATAACTCGCAAACCGTGCATTTTTTCCGACCTCCAATACTTTTGATTATGTACTAAATAAGGCACACGTTGCACTGTGTGCAAAGTTGAACGTTGCTTTCAAAATCACTTTTTTGTTTTTTTTATTATTGCCCAATTTTAAAAGTAATCGATCACAAACCTTGCGGTAATCAAACATAACCGAATGGACGATTTTTTGAGGTAATAGGACTGATTTTCAATATACAGGGGGTTGTTTTTTCAAAACATTTAATTTTTGTGGGGAAAATAATTTAAAAAAAAACAACGAATTCGTTACGATAAGTGTACCTAAAAATATAGGGTAGAACGAATTGGCTCATTAAAGCGGTTTGGGAAATAAAAAATGTTTTTTTTTGAAAAAAGAACCCACTGTACATTGAAAAGCAGTAACTTTTGAAAAAAGTCTAGTACCTCAAAAAATCGTCCATTCGGTTATGATTACCCTAAGGTTTGGGATCGATTACTTTTAAAATTGGGCTATAATAAAAAAAAGAAAAGTGATTTTAAAAGCAACGCTCAACTTTGCACACTGCGCATAGCAAAAGGGCACATCATATAGGTGCGCAATGAGGTTTAACGTGTGCCTTATTTAGTACATAATCAAAGTATTAGAGGTCAAATTCTGAAAAAATGCACGGTTATCGAGTTATGAGCCAAAAAGCAAAAAATCTTCCCTTTCGGGGGATGAACTCTACATTAAAAAAATAAAACCCGACTACCAACGAGTTTTCCTTCTACAATCTTTGTTTCATGGACTATTATATATTATCCACAAGAATAAATTATAATAATAGATAATGTACCTAATCAATGTAATAAAGAATTTTTAATTTTTTAGATGGTTCATTATGTATCGACCTCGACTTTGGTTTATCAAGTCAGAAATGGTAGGCCGCCATCAGACACTTTTGGACAGTTGTTAAGAAGAGCCGGCAGTATGGGTGACGTTAGAACTTGCCCTGTAAGCTTTTATTTAAACTGAAAAAATATTTTAATATTTATATTTCGTTTCCTTTTTTAGAGCGCATGTGGTGCCGTAATCCAAATAGGCCGAAATCTGATGAATCACCCCGAAATAGTCTCCGTAGGATTAGTATGGAATTCTGAACGTCCAACTTTAGAACACATCATGGAAGTATTTTCTACCATCGGCACGACCTTACGACTAGGCGATGTTTTTAACACGGTAGTTGACACGAGGTGGGCAGAAACATCGATGCACAACCTGGTCGGAGTTGTAACCTACTATGGAAAACACTATTCCACGTTTTTCTTCCATACCAAATTGAGAGTTTGGATTTACTTTGATGATGCTACAGTACGTGAAGTGGGACCTCGGTGGGAGCAAGTGGTAGAAAAATGCCGTAAAGGTCGTTATCAACCTTTATTACTTTTGTATGCCCTACCGGATGGTACTCCAGTCAACACAGAAAATGCTCCAAAACAAATTACGCCATTTTACACTGAGAAAGTTAAGAAGACTCCTCCACAGTCGGTGCTAAGAAGGTCTATAACTCCAAGTCCAGAAAAGCCGACTATAGGTAATAACAGACGGGCTATTACACCAAACCCTGATGGAAGTTTAAATCATAAACCACCCATACCAAGAGCGTACAATGAATACCAAAATTTGTCAGTTATACAGAAAAACTTATATGGTACCCAACCCAATCAAGACTGCGATGTTGTAGATGGCTGTTTATCCAGGAAAGAACCAGAATATATTACTAGAAAATTCTTGGATTTTGGTCACCAAAAACCCCAAGTGAACATTCACAGAACTCTCAGCAATGGCTCATCCTCTGGAGTAGAAGGAATGTCAATACCAGACCACATGAATGTTCCCAGAAGACGAGACTCCGGTAACTGGAGTGGAGATAGAAACAGCGCCTCGTCAGCTTCATCAACAACAATGGAGAACCCTTACTTATATCTGGTTGGTAAAGTTCCTCATGGAGGCGGCAGTATCCCTGGAAGCCCCACAAGAACCAAAAGTGATTCTGGCGGAGATGCAGGTTACGATTCCTACTCACTGTCGTCTAACGATAGTTCCACAATGAGTACGCTACAACACCTAATGAAAATGGGACACCTTGCCAAAATTCCAGAAGATTATAACAATGTTCAGGTACAAATTTCGCAGAGTTGTGATGTATTATGCGACGAAGCCGACGAACTTCTGGTAAAGTCCAGGCAACTAGAAGACGAACACGATCTAGTTTTGGCTTTGGCACTATGCAATGCTGCAGCGACAAAAGCTAGAGCCGCTATGAATGCACCTTATAATAATCCTCAAACTTTAACTTTAGCTCGAATGAAACACAATACTTGTATTATGAGAGCAAGAAGTTTACACAGAAGGATGACGCAAACCCAAATTCCTCTAAGCAAAGAAACAACTCCGGAAATAAGGCATACACGAGAAGGTAGCAGTGGAAGCGGTAGACACTCTAGACAAAATTCAAGAGATAAAAGTTCTCACTCAAGACAGAATAGTAGGGAGCTGCTAGTATTGGAAAAAGAAAAGCCACAAATGACGAAAAATATCGAAATTTACGCCACTCTGCCTAAGAAAAAGGATGCATTAAAAAACAAAATGAACGCTTTTAATATTGAAGATTCTGAATACATGTTGTATGACAAACCTCCAAATAGGGAATCTAGAAGTATATTTTCCCGAAATAAAAATAAGGATACACAAAAGTCAAGAGAAAAACGCTCCAGAAGTGAAGATAGAAATAAAATGTCTAGAGATTTTTCCATTGCTCCTGAAATATTAACTGGTAAAGATACTTTGAAAAAAGCTAAAGAAGATAAGGAGGAAAAGAAGGATAAGGATGGAAAATCCAAAAAACAGCACAAAATTCGAAGGAAATTACTAATGGGAGGATTAATTAAAAGAAAGAACAGGAGTATGCCTGACTTAACCGATACCACTGTAGTAAACGAACCTCCAACTGTCACTGTAGATGATAGTAGCCTCGGATTAAAGGGAAATTTGGATTCCACTTCAGGAATGTGTGGATATTTATCGGAAGGACATTTGGAATTTACCGGAAACAATGCGAACCCCAACTTGGAGCGCAGCAAGTTGATGAGGAAGAGCTTCCATTGTAGCGCGGGCAAGATTTTGACCGCCGCCAAAGTTCCGCCGCCTCCGCCCCTCAGAACGACTTCCACGCTTAGCAAAGCTAAGTTTAACGGCGGCGAAGTTTGTAATGAGAATGTTGGTGAGAGGCCCAAGTATCCCCTGCCCGACGATATTTCGTACTACGATAACCAAAAGGTCTATGCTAACACCAATCATTACAATCAACCTCATGTTTCTGAATACCAAAACTTTGATCAACATACTTATTACGGTAACAACACTGTTATTACAAGGGCAGACGTTCACCAAGAAAAGAGTCCTATTAAGAACATCTACGACAATGGTGTTAACAATATCCAAGTGGATAGTGGTGTGGATGAAGTAGATTGTCTGCCTTCGCATAGCCATGCAAATACCTTAGAACTGCCTCCTTACCCGAGCCCCATGGGTTCTGCCATTCATTCTCGTCAAGCTAGTGAAGACTTTCCTCCACCACCTCCCCCATTGGACGTATCAGCTCTTGATGAGCATTTACCTAAACCACAAAAAGTTGAAGAACCACAACCTAACAGCCTATTGGCTCAATTACAAAGCAAAAGACGGGAAATTTTATCAAATGAGCTTGAAGTTAGAAAGACCACTACCGAAGTAAAGTCTTCTGGCGATACGTGGTTAAGGGAACTCCAAGCCAAACAAGCATCCTTAAGAATGAAGAAGAGTCAGGACGCCAAAGATGTTGGTGTGGATGTGATAAATACACAAAGATACTTACCAGGAGAAAAAGATAACTCTATAAAATCAGTTAGAGATTTGGCCTCCAAATTCGAAACATCTGAATCCCCAACTCCCAAACCCACTCTTAATAGAGTACCAAGCATTAACTTCAATTTGGATGTTATCAAAACCGAATCGTCTCCTAATACAAATGTTTTTAACGTTAAAAAACGCGAGGAAACACATGACACGATTCCACAAGAACAAATCGCCCAAGAGATTGCCGAAGTTGAAAGGCTTAGCGCAGCTGTAAATAAAACCTTAAATATGAATCAAGATTTACCTGAAGACATTCGCAAACCAAGGCAAAAGAAAAAGAGCGTGTCGTTCTGCGATCAAGTCATTTTGGTAGCGACTGCCGATGAACAAGAAGACGACAGCTACATCCCCAACCCGATTTTGGAAAGGGTGCTCCGCACTGCAATGAATAAGCCAGAAACGGCAGCTATTAGACAGGAAATAATAGCTTTGAGGGAGAATGAAGTGCAAAGAAATGAGAGTTTAATTCAGCAGGAGAGTAGAGCATGTCCGGAAGAAGTACAGTATGTGCAACAACCTTTGTATGTTAGAAGAAACTCCGTTGATAATTTATTGTCCCGTCAGAATTCTATTGGAAGCATAAATGATGAAAGAAGTCATGCTTTCAGTCAACCTCCTCTACAAAGTCAACCTAAAGTAATTCCAAACGATTATAACACAGAAAATACCCAAATGCATAATGGTTTCATGCCCAGTGATTCCAATCCGCAATATGTAGAGTATGGTCAATACAATGGACAAACAAATAATGGTATTAACATGAATTCTTACAATAACCATTTTAAAGAACATGATCAATACCATAATATGCAAAATGGTTCCCCTCGTCAGTTTAACCAGCAAAATAATCCACCTCTTGTGCCTAATCAAAATCACAATGGTCCTCCACTCATTGTTCCAAATGGACAACCTAGAATACAGATGCATCAACAACCTTCCACTCAAACTGCATACAGGCAATCGCCTTACCAACCTATTCCACAAAATTCCCCAGCATATGCAGCCTACTATAGTCAAAACAGACAGCAGACCAGCCCTCAGTACCGACATACACCTCCGGAGTTTAACAATCAGCAATATTCCAGAGTACCATATAACCACAGCCCCCAAGTAAAACAAACCACTCCTAGTCTACTTCATCACAATGGTTATGGTAACCAAAATGGGTACCAGCATCCACCATCGCCATCTCCATCTAGCGTAGGTTCCAATTACAACTATCAACAAAGTATGTATAGAGGCCTAAACAATAATTTCGAAGGTCAACAACAAAGGGTACCAGTGCCTTATGAACAAACCAATGGTAATTATCATTCAAGGCAAAATGATTACGACACTCAAACAAATGGACCTTACCAGAGGTTACCTCAGTACCACTCGGACGTGTATCAAAGGGTACCAATGCCACACCAAGAGCAACCTCCACATGACAATTACCCCGTATACCAACATGCCTTACCCTCCAAACAAATTCTAAAAAAGACTGTGAGCTTCGAACCGGGTACTAAGGGAGGAGGAGCGGGTGAGATGCAAGTCCCGCAAATGGTGCCCAAAGCAATTGTGACACCCATAGTAGTAAACAATGCGAACAATTGTGTACCTACGGATAAAACTAAGTGCAATTTGTGTAGAAAAAAGAACGTTATAGCAATGAATTTGTATTGTACAGACTGCGAGTTTTATATGTCTAGGTTTACACCTAGGAGTTAGTATTAGGCTAATTAAATTATTTTGTATGAAATTGTGATATTATGTTCAAATTTTTATGTAGGTATCTAAAGTCTATGTATTAAATTTAAGATTTGGATCTCATAGAATACTCTAAAGAATATTTTGTATGATTTCTTTTAATATAATAAGATTTTAATAAATATTTTAAACAATAAAAAATCGAGTTCTTATCTGTGACACTTTTGAAATAAAAATTGGCACTAATATTAATTATACCACTTATCAAGAAGTTTTTGAAATAATACTTTTTAATATATATTTATGGACGACCTTTGTTTAAATACGTTGAGACGCACAAGGATGATGAAAAAAAGTATGTCCTGGTCAAGCTTCAGGCGCACCCCGCAATGCGGGGCTGTTATTTACGCCACTAAATAAGCGTGTCTCTATATCCTCTTGGGCTCCCTAGCACGCCTGAATAGGCCTTCATGATCAAAATACTTTTAGAATTTAAAAAATAAACTTTTAAGATCTTTGTTTATGACCAGATTGCGTGTGACTTATTTGTTTTTGATCGGATCCTACCAAGACTACAGTCTTACCCTAATTTTGTTTGGTATGCAAGATTCATTTATTTTTAGAATCAATTTTTGTTTTGGTATAAGTACACAGTCCACAAAAACAGTGGTCTTCGACATGAATAAGACCATGATTTCCCCATCTATTTTCACTCGCTAAAACAATCTGAACTTTAGTTTAGTATGTTTTATTATGCGTTTAACAAAAAAAAATAATTCTTTATAAAAATGTATGTTTGTCTAAAAATGGGAATCTCAATAAATATGTTTAGAAACTTATTTTAGCTTTTAGTACAAAAAAATCGATGACACGTGACGGAATGAAGAGCTGTGATTAGTTGGTTAGACATGTTTGCCTCTGACTGAACCTGCTGGTCCAAAACCAAAAATGTCCAGCGTGCTGGACCTCTTGTTTTTGAGTCTCAGTTTAAATAGGAAATATTGGTCTTCGACCACTTTCAATGTGGTTACATACTACAACAACTAGTACTTAAATTTTCGTCGGGAGTGAAGCCGGAAGCTTTTCAATTGTATAAAATGTTACTATAGTACTTGCTTTGCTTGTGGAATGCACTAAATTTTAAACTAAAACTTATTTAGATACCTACTATAACAATAATTATTTTGTACTAAATGCTAGTTAACTAATTACAACTTAGGTTGTTTTATTGTATATACGGACAATTGTCCGTAGGCTGCATGGTGGCCGATGGACAACAAACGGCGTCAATAAGAGACAGCGGCCATCAGGCGGCCGACGGACTATTTCCCGCCGTTGTTCGTCGTATGCCGACGTCAGCCCGCCGGTGACATACGACGTCGGCCCGCCGTCAATAGGACTCCTACTGACGGCGGGCTATTATAGGAGACAGCAGCCATCAGGCGGCCGACGGACTATAGCCCGCTGTCTGGCCAAAAACCTACAGACGTTCTGAATAGGTTTAATCCTGAGGATGTCTTATGAACGTCTCACGAGATTTTCTTCGGTATATGTAGGTCGTGAGAAGATCCTTAACGTAATTAAGTTATTCGTTGATAAATTTAGCAAAAAAAACTATATACTTTACTTAAGTATTTATATATTAGGTGAAACAAAAATTCAGTGAACGACTACGTTCGTTGCTCACAATTTTTAGAATGGTCTTGAAAACTAAAAAATACATAAAATTCTCATGCATCTATGAATACTTAAAGATACTTAAAACTAATATCCTAAAGTAAAGGGCCTAACTAGAGAATGCTTTTAAGAAAGGTGTGAAATGACATATAACATAACTCCTCCCTCATTAAGCAAAAAAATAAGGGCACAATTGCAAATATTTATTTACAAAGTCCCTTTTTTTTTATTTATTTAATTAACAATAAAAATGATTAATAAACTACATATCTTAAAAATACTAATAACAATAAATGTGGATACAAAAAAAATAAAAATAATAATGCTAAAACTAAAACTTAATATTATCATTAAATGCATTCGCAGAAAAATGGGTTTATGTGCACTTAGGGTCGAACATAGTTGGTTAACAATTATTTACCATTACACAAGGATCGTTTGCATTTAATACGAAGCACTTCACTGTCTAGTTGAAAAAATCGTTGCAAGAGAGTATTTTTATTACTTTTGTGTTGCTTTATACTGTTAGGTTTGCTAGGATAAATGGGTATTAAGGAGAATGAGATATTGAGGAAAACTATGCGTATTTTGAATATAGAAATTATGAGTTATGGATTATGTATATATATATATTTTTTTTTTCAGTTAGTTTCATTATAATTTGCAATATACCGTTGAGGTTTTAATTTGTCGTAATAATAGATTTTATTATTATCATTTATTTTGAATTCGGTTGTTGTTACTGGGTTTTCTACTCGTTTGTATAAGGGATGCGTTTTTACTTTCCATCTACGGCTTAAATTTCCACCTTTTATAAAGAGTGGTTCATCGTGATTAATATCAATCCTATCTCGATTCTGATTTCGCGACTCTAAAATTTGATCTTGTTTCTGCCCTAATTTTTGTCGAATTTGTTGATTAAGAATTTTTACATTTTGTGTATGTTCGTCAATCCAATCGGCTACTACCTGAGTGGGATGAAGTTCAAATGGGGAAACGTAGTCTAGTCGACCTTTTATCACTTGAAAGGGAGTATAATCTAATGCCGAGTGTATAGAATTGTTATAGGAGAGAGTTGCATAATCGATTAATTCGAAAATAGGGGCTTTTGGTTTTTCTTGTCGCAAAACACGTAGACCTTCGATAATTGTTGAGTGAAATCTTTCTACTGGGCTGTTGCTATTCGGATGTTGTCGAGTAATATAATGAATTTCAATATTATAAATTTGGCAAAATTGTTCAATTAGACCATTTTTAAATTCGGTACCCTGATCGAAAGTGATTTTCTTTGGGATACCATGGTGTGAGATCCAATTAAGAAGGTTTCGAGCTATTTCAGTGCTAACTATGGCATTTATTGGAAATAAATGGCCGAATTTTGAAAAACTGTCTATAACAGTAAGAAATATTTTGCCTTCAATTTTAAATGTATCGATATATAAATGATTAAAAGGCTCAGAGCCTATTGGGGTAGGTTTATAAACAATTTTGTGAGGATGTCTTTCATATTTACTTTTTTGGCATATCGTACAGGTATTAATGTAATGTCGAACATTTTCTGCCATTTTTGGCCAATAATATAGACGTTGTAGACTATTAAGATTTTCATTGTAACCCCTATGGGTGGTTTTGGTTTCATGTTGAAATTTAATTTTTTGCCACTGATCTTCGACATTTGTAATATCTTGTAAGTAATTACGTGATAAAATTAAATTGAAAGCGGACGCTTTAAATGAATTTTGTAATAGTTTCAAAAGTTTGTTAATTATGGTTTCGCATTCATCATTCACATACAAACAATACGTTGTTTTAGGCTTTAAATATTCTTTTATAAATTGTACTAATTCTTGTTCGCTAGGGATAAGATGTAGATAATAACAAATGGAAAGTCTAGTATTACCAAAAATTGTTTGCTTTCTTGCTTTAATTGTCTGTTTTGTGGTTTCATGGATGGTATTGATGGCTTCAAAAAAAATCTGGTTCTTAAATAAATTGACTGCCTTTTCTGTATATTTTGCTCCAAAAATTGGATCTTCGTAACTAGAATGGATAGTATTTAAGTCATCGTTATTGCGATCGTCAGGGGGCCTTATTTGTATGTCTTGTAAAATATTAATTTCGGGTCTTTCGTCTATTGTCATTTCGTTGTTAATAATTTCGTTTAAATCCTGTAAGTCTATTTCTTGTTCTGAAGTAAGCTCTGTTAAGTGTCGATTTTCTTGTTCATTGGGGTCATAATTAGCAATAATTGACAGCTTATCATCACTATTTAATTCAAGTGGGTGGCACTCTAATACATTGCACTCTGTGTTTCTAATTCTAGAAAGAGCATCTGCATTTAGATTTTGTGTCCCTTTTTTGTAAATAATTTCGTAGTCATACTCTTCGAGCTTTAATCTCCAACGGACAAGCTTACTGTTAGGTTCTTTAAGTGAGAACAGCCACTGGAGGGGTTTATGGTCGGTAATTATTTTAAACTTTGTCCCATACAGGTAGGGCCGAAAATATTTAACAGCCCACACTACTGCTAGCAATTCTTTTTCAATTGTGCTGTAGTTTATTTCTGCTGGATTAAGCGTGCGAGATGCATACGCAATGGGAAGGTCATTTCCAGGGGGTCCCTGAGAAAGTACAGCCCCTAATGCATAATTTGACGCATCAGTTGTCACATTAAAAGGTTTGGTAAAGTCAGGGTGTTGTAAAATTGGTTCGTTTATGAGGATGGATTTGCACAAATTAAAACTTTTAATAAATTCGGAGGTGTGTTCTATTTTATTATTTTTTTTTAAACAATTGGTCATGGTTTTAGTGATTTTTGCAAAATTTTTTATAAATTTACGGTAGTAACCGGTAAGTCCTAAAAACGATTTGATTTCTTTGGTGGTTTTAGGTATAGGGAAATTTTTTATTGCTGCTATTTTTTTCGGATTTGGTTTAATGCCTTCAGGGGTTATGACATGTCCTAAAAATTCTACTGATTTGCAGAGAAATTCTGATTTATCTAACTGAATTTTTAACCTTGCCTCCCTGAGTTTATTGAAAACTAATTTTAAATTATTAATGTGTTCTTGTAATGACGACGAAAAGATAATAATGTCGTCCATATATACTAAACACACCTTTCCTTGCAAGTCTTTTAAAACATGATCCATTACGCGTTGAAATGTAGCCGGCGCATTTTTCAAGCCAAATGGCATACGGACAAATTCGTAATGGCCGTTTTCAACATTAAATGCAGTTTTTTTTATGGAATCTGGATGCATCTCGATTTGATGAAAACCGGATGCTAAATCTAACGTACTGAAATAATTACAACGCCCTAATTTATCTAAAATGTCATTAATATTTGGTATTGGGTAACGATCATCTACCGTTTTTTCGTTAATTTTTCTATAATCTACCACAATACGCCATTTTTGTTTTCCACTGGCATCCAATTTTTTTGGAACGATCCAAATTGGAGAACTCCAGGGAGATTGTGAAGGTCTAATAATTTCGTTTTCAAGCATTTCATTAATTTGCCTACGTACTTCTTCTTTATGCACATACGGGTATCGATAGGATTTAGTATGGATAGGTGTCTCATCTGTAGTTTTAATTTCATGTTTGATTTTGTTGGTAAATGAAAGTCTGTCAGTCGGGTGGTAGAGAACATCGCAATAAGAAGAAAGTAATTTAAATAATTCTTTTTCTTCTTCGTTATTGAGGTGATCACTTCGAATTAAGGACATATTAAGTTCTTGTAGCGTTTCCATGGGATTTAATCTTTCCGGGATTATTAATTCGGCGTTATAACATTCGTAATTATTTGCCTGCGTAACAAAAGGTTTTAAAAAGTCTAAGGAGAAGCGTTCTAATTTTGTTTGATTATAGTTATTAACGAATTCTATATTAGTAGACCCATTTTTTACTTCAATTAATCCTGAAGGGATGTTTAGTGATCCTACTCGTATGGCTGGTATAATATATTGCTGGTCAGGTAAGTTTACTTTGACATTTTTTATGATCGTTGAATTGGGAGGTATTTCGAGCTTTTGGAAGGAAAAGTCATCGCGATAAAGGAATGGGAGTGTTAAGTTTTTACCGATTAACTGTTGGTTTTGAAAGTCTAAGTATAGTCCTAAATTCTTTAAGTCTCGGATACCGAGAATACCATCAAAGTAGTCATGAAATGAAAATAATACAAAGTCAAGCGGAATGTTGTGGATAAGCGGTATTTTTGCTTTAAACTGAGCTTGTCTTGTCCCCGCACATGTTTTTATTGGGGTATCATCTTTTATAATTGTATGGGGAAAATATGTTTCGGCAATATAGGGGCGTAACATTGAACAATGGCACCCCGTGTCGATAAGAAGTTTTATGGGTGGTTCGGTAAGTTGTATGAAAGGCAGAGAATTGGGTATTAAATTGTTTAGGTCTATGTAGTGTCTGTCGAAGGCTCGGTTACTTGAAAATTTATATCGTCGTTATGTGGTGGTATTTGATATTCATTATCGTGGTTCTCATAATTTTCGAGATTTTGTTCTGAGTATTTTTCATATTCACCTGTTTGGTCTACTTCATCTTCAAAATTAATATTTGTTAGTTCTTCAGACACAAAATTGCGGGGGCCTGAAGGGTTAAAATAGTTATATCTCTGACTGATTTGTCTGGAAGGTAGTCGTGATGAGGTCGACATTGGTTCAGGTAAATTGGTGGGTCGTGGTGCATTTTTCGGATGAAATACATTTTTTTGTGACCCAAACACTTGTCTATTAGTTGGGAAATTATTTTTTACAGGTTGGGCCCGGATGGAAATTGGTTGAGATGGAAAATGTGGTTTATAGTTAGGTTGAAACGAAGATGGCACCTGATTTTCGCTTTGCCAAGTTTGTTGATTTGTTCGCAAAAACGTGTTGTATTGAGGTGTAGGGTTTTTATGATAATTGGTAGGTAAAAAGTTATTTTGTTCAGGTACTGGTCGTTGAAAATGTTGTGGTTTTGATTTGGTGTTCGATTGTGTTTTATGATTACTAGTACCGGCAGTTGAACGAATTTGGTTAATGTGTTGTTGTCGCAACACAAAATTGTTAACAGTAGTGCTAGCTTCATCCAAGGTATTTGGATTTTGAACAATTAATAATTGTTGTAACATTGGGCAAGAATTGGCTATTATTACAGTTACAGCAATGGATTCATTTTGAGCCATAAGGGCATCTCGAGCATTTTGAGCTAATGTTTGATCGGATTGAATTTTTAAATTAAGCCGTATTTGTAAAGATTTTAAACGCTCGATAAAAGGAAGAATGTCTTCGTTAATTTCTTTAGTCAAATATGAAAATTGTTGTTGAAGCAAGTGACGATTTGTACGATCGCTAAATTTTTCGGTTAACCCGTTTTTAATCGCCGGCCAAACGCGAAGGTCCGGTCTGCAAGCCAGCCAATGAGCTGCTTCATCGGTTAATTTTGAACGAATTACCGCGTTTACGTAATTTGTTAAATTTTGATCTAAGGTTCTGCCGTATGTATTATAATACGAATCTACATCTAATAAAAATGTTGTTAAATTTAAATGGTGACCATTGAAAGGTCGCAAAGTTGTTGCCATTTCTTTGGCATCTCGAATTGAAAGCACATTCGGTGCATTATTATTAATTTGTTGATTATTTAACGCCATATTAGCAAAATCTTCTATAATATTATTAAGATTAATCATACAATAATAGGTATATTATAAATTACTTGACAAAAGGTAGGTAGCAATATACGTATATTCAAAATTCGCTAAAGGATTGTTGAGAAAGAAGGAAAACAGTTAAGCATGCACACAATACCTTTGATTTATTATCTGGGTGAGTTGGTACACACAACAGCAGGGGGTCTTGTCTGGGGCTGGAACGGCGTTGCCTTAAGTCAGGTCCAAACTTCGACGATTTGTAGCACTAATTATTATAGATGTACTCCAATGTAATAAGCACTTATTTGGTACGCACAACAGCAGGGGGTCTTGTCTGGGGCTGGAACGGCGTTGCCTTAATTCAGGTCCAAACTTCGACGATTTGTAGCACTAATTATTATAGATGTACTCTTATGTAATAAGCACTTATTTGGAAGTTCTGGTTCGATGTAGAGCATTAATGGTTAATACCAAAAAGTACGCAAATTTCTTCAGCGGACTTTTGCACTATCCTTAACGACTGCGCCAATTAAGTTATTCGTTGATAAATTTAGCAAAAAAAACTATATACTTTACTTAAGTATTTATATATTAGGTGAAACAAAAATTCAGTGAACGACTACGTTCGTTGCTCACAATTTTTAGAATGGTCTTGAAAACTAAAAAATACATAAAATTCTCATGCATCTATGAATACTTAAAGATACTTAAAACTAATATCCTAAAGTAAAGGGCCTAACTAGAGAATGCTTTTAAGAAAGGTGTGAAATGACATATAACATAACTACGTATAGAACCAGCATTATTCAGCTGTGCCATTACAGATGCACACATACAACTAAGTATTGCAACCCATCGCTATTTATAGTTAGCTAGCGTGCGTAAGCAGCGGTAAGATGTTTTGCTTATGCCGCGAGCGTTGGTCCGACGTCGAAAATCGATTATCACATGCACGTACGTCGCGACGTACCAGCAAATGATAATCGACGCGTCGGTATAACGTTGGATGGACGTGGGAAATTAATTATCGTTTGCCAACCTTGGACCGAGGTCGAAAATCAGTTGCCGCCTACCCAGATAGCACAGAGACATCTTAAAGATATCTTAAAGATGTCGGACTCGGACGTTCATGACATCTTTAAGACGTCCAGTTTACGACGTAAGTCATCTTTAAGACGTCTTTAAGATATCTAATGTTACAAAACACACCGTCTTTAAGATGTCTTTTTAACGGCATTATTAAGTCGTGGCTAAACGTCGTTAAGACGTCTTTAAGATGTTAAAGACTACCTATTGAAAACGTTTTGGTTATGAATTGCTACATCGCCAAAACGTTTCTAATGTATTAACTTAATACTATTAAGTATTTAAAATGTAGCTAATAATGCTTTTTAACTTCTAAAAATAACGTATAGGTACTTCTATTTAAAATAAAACAAAAATTAAATTATTACATATTTATTTCTGCCTAAATCATTCAAAACTTCTTGGCAAGAAGAAGCCTTCTGTCCGAAGCCCTCCTTAGCCAAGCCTGTATGGCAACTTCCACCTCTTTATTGTCTTTTCCTATACCTGACTTTTGAACTGATTCTAAAAAAAAAAGAAAAAGTATTATGCTATATAAATGCCTAAACCTCATTAAGAGTATTATGGGTATTAATTAGTAAAAGGGGTTTCAAGTCAATTAATTTAATAAATTAAAAAAAAACACTCTTTTAGAAAACATGGAAATTGGTGAAGATCTTACTTATTAGTGCAGCAGCAATTTTGCTCTTGTTAAATGCTTTTTTTCCTTTTCGTCCCAGCCAGCTATACTTCAATGTTTGGTTATTCGAAACTAGTAATGTCATAATCCTTTTAATAAGGTCATATGGAGAGGACCCTCCTATTTTACTTAGCTCAACCACCTGAAAATACAGAAAAGTACCTATCAGAAATGTATGATCAAAATTATTTACCTAAAATTAATTCACAACAAACTCTAGGTCACATATATGTACTCGTATATAGTTCGTTATTGAATAAAAATAATAAATAAGGAAATCAAAATAAGTTTACCCATGCGTCACAATACGACCAGCAGTAAATTCCATAAGAATATACATTGCGGCTTTGGTGACGCATGTGTAATCTTAAAAAAAAAGGATATATGAGTATAGGTATTATTATCAATTGGAAGAAAAACCTACCGCACTTTCGAAGTCACTTTCAACAGATAAGTAATTTTCTAAAATTTCAAACTCGTCGTCAGTATTAATGGGAAAGGTTATTCCTGGACATTTAAAAATGCTGTTTTTTATTTCCTGATCGTTTATATTCTGGTTTTCCTTCTGCTCCCTTAGTAATTTTACTTCCTGTAATACATCGGTAAGCATGCCTCTTAATACATGATTTTGTTGAATTATGGTTTTAAGGTCTAAAAAATAAATACACAGAATAATAATAAATACAACAAAATTACAAAATTATTGACTTTTAAGAAAAAAAAAACAAATGCTTATAAATAACCAATGAAAGTAAATTTTAGCTTATTAACTAAGTAGGCAAAGACACTAAATCGTACAGTACCTACATTTACCTACTCTTTCTTTGGCAAAGTTATTCTTGTCAATAATAATAGTATTTTACGAGTGTGGAAAAATTAATTTTCCACACTAAAATCTGTGTGGAACTCTTTACCTTTGTTGTCACAATTACTGCACTGGTGTAAATTTACACTGGGGTTCCCATGAAACATATCATTTTCATTTAAATCTATCTGCTCAAAATGTGTTTGTGACTCTTGAAATTTCTTTTTATTTCTTGGGATTTCTGGAAAACACAAGTAATTAATAAACTGCAAGATTGTTCAACTAACAGTAATAGGCAAAGACCGGATTTTAGGCCCTTAAAAATTGGAAATTAGGACACATAAAAGCACTAAAAATCTACATTTTAGGCCGTTTTAGTGCCTAATATAGGCCTCAACCGCCTAAAATAGGCGATATGAAATAAAAACAACACGATTAAACATAACATGTTCTGATATAGGTTTCCCCGGGCGTTATATGTATTAGTGGTTTTTCGGGGTCTGCTCCGTCTGGAATAAACAGGCGACGCTGAACAAAAAATATAAAAAAATTCAAACATAAGCACAATACTTTGATTCCAACGGTTGTCAAAGTTGGCTATATAGAAAAACTATTTACCACCTGTAAATTGTGGAGTTATTTAATGATGCCATAGATGGCGACAAATTATATTACTAAAAACTGTTAAAAAGTCTGAAATTACCATATATGTACTTAATACATATATGGAAATTACAGTAAAACCTAGGAAAACAAAATAAATAATAATTTTCAACCATTTGTGGTCCTCGTACTCGCCAAGGGCGTCTAGGCGAAATAAGAGCATAAAAGCAGGGTCTAATTAAAAATAATTTACTTTTTCGCAATGAAAAGTATATTTTTTACTGAAAAATTAAAAGAGCCTATTTTAGGCTCATAAAAATGTCCTATTGGGACAATAAATCAAAATTTCGCCATTTTAGGCTTTTAGGCAAAAACAAAGGGGCGTCAAACGCTTTATTTTTTTAAGTTAAGGATTAATTTCAAGGTCCCAAACAAATGCCTAAAATAGAAACAAAAAAGCATTTTGCCTAAAATCCGGTCCTTGGTAATAGGTATACTCACGGCGTTCTCTATACCAGGCGAGAGTGTAGCCCCCCCTCCTGCATCAAAACTATGACGTCAGGAGGCCGATCGAATCAACGTACGCCTATTGTATTACATTGCTTTGCAACCAAAGTTATGGATTATTATTGCTTGAAGGAGTAATTTTTACTGAATCAGTTGACAATGCAGGAGTACATATTCTATCAAAATCAACAGAACAATATGTACTAGGTAATTTATTTTAAACAAACAGAACTGCACACAAAAAATAACTCTTTAATTTTAAAATAACGATTGTTTAGGATTTGTATATTTAAACTAAGTGTAGTCTAATTTTATAATATGAAATAATAAATAATAATTTCGTTTAGTTTTATTTTATAAAGAAATTAATTTAATTTATCTATTACCATTAAGATTAATTACTTTAATTAAATTTTCTTGTATTTAAATATAGAAATTATACTTTTCTAAATGATAAAGTTTACTTTAAATAAATTAATATATTTTATTTCAACAAAACATAATAGATTTAATTTAAATACACTTATATTTCATTTGAATTACCTTGATAATACATTAATTTTTCTGTTGCCTGTTAGGAACAAAACATTTTCTTAGCATTTTTTTATTTATAATATTATAAAAGCAGCAAACGAATGCAATATTTATATCAACGTTAAATCAAGCGATATCAATAGACAAGCAATAGATAATTTATATGAAACTGTCTTTTATTACCGCGATTAATTTGGTATTGCAGTCGACCTTCTAACGTCACGCCTCCCACTACTCCTGCCTGATATAAAGTACCCTGTGGAAAAGACAAAGCGTTGCACGTCATAATACGACCACCAGCAAATTCCATAAAAATACGCATGGAGCCATTGATGACGTGCAACGCTTTTAGTTTTGGATGAAGTTTACTTACCAACTGCTGATTGAGAGTTTGATTGCTTGTTCCTTGTTTTGCTTAATTTTGGAGGAAGGGGCAGGACACAGTCATTTTCTGATGACTGATCAGAGTCACTACTACTTAAAATTTTTTGTACCCGTTTTCTTTTAGGATTTTCATTTTCATCAGCAGTATTAAGATCGCTGGTGTCTTCTGCCACCTTTGCTTTGTTTCTAGCAATCATATAATCATCTAAAAAAGAACAAATAAGTGAAATAGCTACTTTTAATTTGAAATGGTGTTTGGTCCTTACCAAAAGTGGCCCCTCTAAATAATTTTACTTTAAATATTGACCAGCATGTGTTTAACGGTTCACACTTTCTAATCGCTGATACCAATTTTTCTTTTGAGTAAGATGGCCAGTGACAATAATCCCCTTGAATCCAACATGATGGGACAGCCTCTACAGACCTATCATCAATAAATTGAATAACAGTCCAACTTGGTGAGTCTTTCTCCATTTTCTCTATATTTTGGTATACAAAATTTATATCTAAGTATCTACCCTATACAGTAGGTATACATGGTGTTTTAAAATTCAGTGCAGATATTTAAAGTAGGTATGTATTTTTGAGCCAATTCAAAGAAAAAAAAGTTTAAACAAATATGGGTCCCAAAATGCTGCCTTCTTGATATACAGAGGGCGTTAAAAAAAATTTAAAAATTGAAAAAAATCACGTGGTAACGTCACGATTTCCTAAACTTAGGAGAGTATTCTAGAGCTTGTTTTATGAAAAAAATGTCCTATCAACATATTGCGTAAAGACATTATTGTTTAAGAAACATGGTGTCAAATATGGCACATTTTTTAAAAAAATTATAATTTTTTTTTATTTTTGTCGATTAATTTGAAAGCGGTTAGTCGCAGAAAAAAACACAAGAAATGGTTTTTGTAGATTATTAGTTAACAAATTTGAAAAAAGTAGTAAAATGTCAAAAATTACAGTTGCAAACTGTTTTTAGGATATTATGTCGAAGTTCAAAATATTAATGGTCAGGCACGCCACTGATAATTCTAAAGGAGCTGTTATAGTGTCAAAGATGACTCTCAATATCATACAGAAGTTTGCCAAAATTCAATAGAATATCTTTAACGGTTTTTTTCTTAAAATTGGCTCAAAAATATACTATAATATATAATACTCGATATAATATATAATATACTATGCTAAACCCTTAAAATATCTGCACTGAAGTTTGAAACACCCTGTCCAATAAAGGCCACCACACTATGTATTTATACAGGATGTCCCATAACTTTTTCACCATCATATATGATGGTAAATAAGTTATGGGACATCCTATAGAGTAATGGGAGGTTTTTTCAAGACAAAATATTACTATGGTCTGAATGTTAATTCTAACAAAGATATAGGGTGTTAAATTTTAACTTATTAAAAAAATTGAACATTGAAAACTTTATTACAAAAAAAACATCAAGTCTGGGTATATTACTTATGTACTAACAAAAAAGGTCGAAAATAGACTTTTTTAAACAACGACAAAACAAAAATGCTAATAATAATAATAAGGAAACGACAATTATGGTAAAATTAGGATATTTACATATTTACAGACAATGTAACAAAGGAAACATCACACAAACACCTTCAACCTCTAAATTTACGCATTTGTAAGCTACATCACTTAACTTAAAAAGCTCAAGATTACCAATTTTATCAACTTTAAAAATACCCAGGTCAGATGAGTTACACGGGGTTGTATAAAAATCCTGTTTTTTATTATATTTTCTGGCCAGTATGTAAAATATATTTTCATGCAAGCCAAAATTTTCAATTTTTAAAATCTCTCCATTTTTTAAGCAGCAATAATTATTAGGTGATTTATTTTTTAATACAAATTCAGAAAAGTGCACACTTTGATACTGTTCAGTAAATATAATGTTGTTTAGTAGGGGGCCATTATCATGTTTTTTGCTAAACCTAGGAATATTTTTTTCAGATATTTTGTCACAAACAGCCACTGATTTTTCACTGTACCTTTTTACAATTTGCTGTAAAGGTTTGTCACCTTTACGAACAAGCTTCAAAATACTTTGTAAAAAGTTTTCAAAACAAAAGGCACTAAAGCCATCAACAGGACCATGATTTTTAACATCTACTGCCAAATGTAATAAATTATGTACATTATGTGATACATTTTGTGAGCCATACAACTTTTGAAAACTTTCAACAAAGTATTTTAAAAGATCAGAAGCATAATCAATAAGATAAGTGTAGTTTAAGCTTGAAAGTATTGTTAGTGCTACATGGAGGGTTAAGAAATTAATGTACCTATCACGATTAATATTTTTTTTTAATACCAGAACTCCTGTATAAAATAAAAATTGCCTGTATTCAGTGGCTTTCCAGCGTTTTACCTCATTTAAGCTACGTGGTTTTCTATTAAATTCTAAAGGTAATTGAGTTGAGATTTTAAGTAATAATTCTGATATACTGGATATTTTTAAAAATGATATTTTTGTTAAGGGTTTACCATGACACCACAATATTAATAGTTTTTTAACAACACCCAAACACACCAAATGCATATAGTCTAATGGAAAGTCATTAACCATGTTAAAGCCTGGAATTTTTTCTAAAACTGACTCACCAGTGTGATGTTCTTGCTGTTCCTTACTTCGAAATCCAAGGTCTGTCCTAAGCTGAATATTTGTTGTATTTGGGAAATACACTCTATCTGAATATTCCCCTTCGATACAACATTTTGTGCAAGAGAAATATCCGCTATGACCTTTAATAAACTTAACATATGATTTGGCTGGAGCATCACAACATATTGATTTGATTTTGATGGTAAAATGTTGGTTGTTAAAGGTGAAACCATTTTCTACCAGCTCAATGGCATCATTGACAAAATTAATCAAAAATTCATTTGCATCTTTAGGCTTCTCCTTTCCGTGGTATATTCCGACCAGCTCAACAATTTCTTTATGATTATAAATATTTGCCAATATGGGATACACCTGACTGCTTGAACTCTTAGATAGGGGTAAGCCATCTATATTTATATTGAGAGCTATGAAATGGTTCAATTTTTGAATTGTCTTTGTGTCAAAACTCCTTAAAATACTAAGGATACAATTACTTAATCCAAAATGACAATATTGCCCCGGTGTAACTGGTATAACTTCAACATAGCGACAAGTGTGAAGTAAAGTTCTAGCATCAGTAGGCAACACTTGCTCAGCAAAATTTAAAGGTAAAATTTTTAATAAATCATTTATCGCAGAATGAGTTATTCTATGCTTTACTGCCCACTTTGCCAAGTAATTTTCAAATCTGATTTCACTTTGTTGTGTTCTCACTCTCATTTGAGGTACTTCCTCGGGTACTTCTTCCAAGCTTATGTCTAGAGGTTCTTTCGAGGTTCCTTCGATATTTGGAATAGAAATGTTGGAAGAATCCTGCTCAACTCGCTGCTCAACATCAGACGGCGAGTCACTAGGTATAGTGAAAGTGCAGCACTCACCGTCCGACACTATGGCGGGAGAATGTAAAACATGCTTTTCTATATCTTCTAGTGAGGGTCTTTTTAAATTGGCTGCCCTCTTTGCACGCATATAATATTTATTGAGAGATGTACGCTTCATCTTAAGCACACAAGAAAAAATTTTAAAATTACCTGAATAATTTTCCCTCTTGAGTATATTAAACCACAGCAAGTTCACAAAAACAATCCAAAAACTGTTGTTACAACACTGCACACTGCTTTTACTTGTCTCTTAAGTTAAACGTCGAACGAGAACGAAAAACCGCCACGATTTAACTTTTAACCAAATTTTACGTAAGCGGCAAAAATGGCGTCTGATGCCGGGGGTATAAGGGGGGTATAAGGGGAATTTGACAACAGGCAACAGTAAAATAAATCTAGCATGCGTTGAAACCCAAGTTGTTTTTGACAGACCCCAGTTATTAACCACGTGATTCTTACTTTGTTGTGATTGGTCTTTTCCAACTTGTTCGTTGATGTTCGCGGTTTGAGAAATTACAAATGGCCGACAGTGTTGTTGAAGTGTTGTGTACGAAGTTTTATAATCCAAATTTTCTTTGTTTTAGGTAAGTAAACTTGTTAATTTCGGATTTAACATTTTATTAGGTGTTTTTAGTCAAGTTTGAGTTAGTTGTAGTATCATTACCGCGTTTAAAATAAGAAAATACGTGTGATAAACCGTATCGGTTTTTTTCTCTATGTTTACCGAAAACACATGATGTAAAAAAGTTTCAATAAAACAAATAAAATTCTTTTTATATAATAAAACCTATGGCAAAGAGTAAAGATTATGGGTTGTTTAACTAAAGCAAGTTATACAAAATATTAAATATACCTATAATCTTTGTCAAAAGGTATGTTTTTGTTAAAATTATTTGTAAATGTGTTAATTATTTTAACTTGTTACAATAGGTTACAATAGGTACCTACCTACTTTATACAAAGTGTTTAAATAAAAAACACATTTACCTAACAATATTTCTCAATTTTTAACATAATCTTATAAAAATTGTACTATAGTACAAGGTACTGGAGGTACCCATACATCTGGATAATCAGTGTCGACACAAATGTACACACAATTATTATTGCACTACAATAATTATAATAATAATTCTGTATCCATCTGAAATTTAACAAGTGTGGTGCAATTGCAATATACATGTGTGTTGAGTCAACACTGTTTTACCTAGTTGTACAGGTCGAGTTTAGTTGCAATTTTACTTTAATTGAGGTTATGTTGCTTAGTTACAACAATAGTTTAAGCTTAATTTAAATGTAAGTAAAAGCTGAACTTGAATTGTACAACTGGGCCTGTGTTAAGATGTAGGTATTTGTCCCTTAAACATATGCAGGACCTAGATTGCATTATAGTTATTAAATGTTTGTATACAATGCATTGGACCAGTGTCCAAATTTTCTGGATCTCAGTGACACTGAGACATATTTATTATCTACCTATGAATTAAATATTTTGTGTTTTGTTCAATTGAATGCATTGTATATTTTGTAGTATAAATGTATAATTCCTACTATTCTTTTATACTATACTTAGTTTAGTAGTTAAAATATTTATAATATTTGTTATATATTTTTAAATTGTATTTTAGGTCCTGGTCTACTAAGAACTGAAGAGAAGAAATTCAAAAATTGGTAATAATTTTAATAAACTTTGATCTAAAATTGGGTTTTTTAGGTGCAAAGAATAATTTGGTAGTTGTGGTAAGAGTAAAAATCTTTTTTTTAATTTGAAAATTTAAGTTAATTTTATTAGGTGTAGAAAAAATGTCTAGATTAATTAATAGTAAATATTGCCATTATCCTGGTTGCTCAAATTCCTATGTTTTTCAACATCCCAACCCCAACTTTTCAAATAAATCCTTTTTTTCATGCCCTTCCAATCCTCCCGATGTTAACCTAAAATGGCATTCCATTTGCCAAATAGGTC